AGCTGAATAGTATTCCACTGTATATATTTACCACAGTTTTCTTATGCATTTGTCAGTTGAAGGATGTATAGGTTGTTTGCATTACCTATCTATTGTGAATGAATGGAGTGTCGATGAACATGGCTGAACAAATATCTGTAGAGTAGGATGTTGCGTTCTTTGAACATATGCCAAGGAGTGGTGTAGCCCACTCATATGTCATAGGTTTAGTTTTAGCTTTTTGAGAGGTCTCCATACTGATTTCCACATGGGCTGCACCAGTTTGCAGTAACAACAATGAGTTAAGATTCCCCTTTCCCACATCCTTGTCAGCATTTTTGTCAGTTTTATTGATCTTAACCATTCTCACTGGGGTAGGTAAAATCTCAAAGAGATTTGATCTGTCTTTCCCCTATTGCTAAGGAAGATGAACATGTTTTGTGGTATTTTTGAGAACTCTGTTTAGATCCATAGCTCAGTTTTGAATGGTTTGATTGTTTTCTTGACTATGGTACGTGATCTTTTGATATGTGCCTGTTTTGCAAGGATTTCATTTGGGATTTTTCGTATCTGTGTTCATCAAAGATATTTGATCTGTAATTTTTACTATTTTATGTATCTGTCTTTTTTGGTATTTGATTGATACTGACTCTGTAGAAGGTGTTTGAAAATGTTCTGTTTCGATATTTTTTGAATAATTTATGAAAGTTTGGTTGTAGATCTTCTTAAAGTCTATTAGGAATTTTGTGAATCCACAAGGGCCAGATTGTTTTTTTAGACAGGAGACTTTAAATTACTATTTCAATTCTGAAGAATGGATAAGGAAAATGTGGTACATTTACACAATGGAGTACTACTCAGCAGTAAACAACAATGACATCTTGAAATTTGCAGGAAAATTGATGGAACTAGAAAAAGCCATTCTGTGTGAGGTAACCCAGACCCAGAAAGACAAATATAATGTATACTCAGTCATAAGTGAATATTAGACATAAAACAAAGGACAAACAGCCTACAGGCCACAACACCAGAGAACCTATGGATCCGACTGGAAGGGGAAAAAGACAAGAGCTCCTGAGTAAATTGGGAGTGTGGGGGTCGGATGGAGGGTGGAAGTTAAGTGGGAGAAATGTATGTCTCAATAAAAAATAAAATTCCCTTATTTGTTATTTGTCAATTTAGGTTGTTGATCTCTTCTTGGTTTGTTTAATTTTTGTGGTTTGGATGAGTCTAGAAGTTCATCTAGTTCTTTTAGATTTTCCAACTTCACAGAGTGCAGGTTACTAAACTATTCCCTTAGAGTTTCTTTCTGATTTTTTTGGGGGTGTCTGTTGTAATGTTCCCTGTTCATTTCTGAATCTGTTAATTTGGGTCATCTCTTTTTGTTGTTGTTTTTGGGTAGTTGGGCCAAAAGACCGTTGATCTTGTTTATTTTCTTAAAGAATCAACTTGTAATTCATTGTTTCTTTGTTTTTATTTTACTAAATTTGGCCCTGGCTTTTATTATTTCTTTCAATCTACGGAGTTTGGATTTTTTCCAAAATCTTGAGTTGCATCATTAACTCATTTATTTGTGCTTTCTTTGACTTTTTTTTTTTTGGTTCTGTGTGTTTAGTAGCTTAGGTTGTAAATTTCACTTGTAGCGCTGCTTTTCATGTGTTGTATTTCCATTTTCTTTTTGTTCCCGGAACTAAAATTTTTTCCTGGTTTCTTTTTTGACCCATTCATCATTCAGTAATGAGTTGTGTAATCTCCACAGGTTTGTGTATTTGCTAATGATTAGTTTACTGTTGATTTTAAATTTTGTTACATTATGGTAAGTAATGATACTATGCTTATTCCTCTCTTCAATGTGAAGTATTGTTTCCAGCATTCTCTTTAGGGTTGGCTTGGTGGACAGGAATTTTGTTAGCCTGTTTGTATCATGGAAAGTTTTTCTTTCTCCTTCAAGGTAGTTTTCCTGGCTATAGTATTCTTTTAGAATTTCTCCATACTCCGCTGAGAACTCAGCTCTTATCTTAAGGGTTTTCCTTTATATGTGATTTGGGGTTTTCCTCTTGCAACTGTGAGTACTCTTTCTTTGTTCCATATATGTAGTAATGCTTCAATTATGATATGCAAGGGGAATTTTTTTCTGATCTTGTCTGCTTTGTGTTCTGTATGCTTCTTATATCTGTATGCATATTTTTCCTTAGTTTGGGGGAAGTTTTCTCCTATGATTTTGCTAAAGATCTGGTCTATGTCATTGACCTGGTTCTGTTCCCTCTTCTATCCCTGTAATTTGAAGATTTGCTGTTTACAGGATATCTCACATTTCCTGCCTGTTCCTATTACCTGTTAACTTTTTTTTATAGTTTTGTATATGTGATCTAATTTTTCTACTTTAAGTGCTGATATTCTATCTTCTACTTGATCCTTTCTATTTGTGAGACTCCCCCTGAATTTTTTAACCTATGTTATTGAGTTTTTTCAATATATTTCATTTCAACTTGAGTTCTCTTCTATATTTTTATTTATTAAATTGAGTTTTCAAAACAGGATAGAAGAAGACATACAAAGAAACACAAGGAATTCTTTGGTGCTTGAGTAATTATGGATCTTGATTGTGGTGGTGCTTATATGAATCTAAACATGAGATAAAATGTTTAGAAACACATACATAATATTCACACATGCATGGATTCAGGTTATATATGTTGAAAGAGAATGAGTTCTATATTTTGTAGTAATGCACCAATTTTTTTTTTTTTTGGTTTTTACGAGACAGGGTTTCTCTGTATTGTTTTGCAGGCTGTGGGTCTAGCCTGGCCTCGAACTCACAGACATCCACCTGCCTCTGCCTCCCGAGTGCTGGGATTAAAGGCGTGCCACCACCGCCCGGCATAATGCACCAATGTTAACTGCCTCGTTTTGATAAGGAACTAGAGGTATATTAGGTATCATTAAGAGTTGCTGTTTGAGGGGCTGTAGATCTTGGTCCCAGTAGACTTTCTTCCTATGATGATACAACTGTTTCAAGTAAAAATTTCCAATGAATGGCTCCCATTTGTCTGGATGGTTTAAGTCTAGTTGTGCTGAAGATAGAGTGATATGGAAGGCCATTTGTCACATTTCACCCCCACTGTATCACCAGGGCAGGAAATGCACACAAAATGGAGGATCTACATGTAAGATAAGTTCTCCTACTTTATTAGTATCTTTCTGTCCTTTTTAAGTACACGTATTTCTTTGCTTTTTGAAAGTAGTTTTTAATGAAGAAATTGACAGTCTTCAGTTATATTTAGTGTTAGTGCTTGTTCTTAGCACTGTGCTATTTATGCTTTTTTCTGCCAATAACAACACAGGCCAGATGAAATTAACATGTTCTGCATGCTTACAGGAATGCTCCCCAAATTGACCAAACTAAAAAACATTTTCAAGAAAGTACAACTTTAATGTTAAATTCTGACATTACTCACGGCAGTTGTGGCAAAGGAATAATAAGCTGTGAATTAGGAGAATCGTGTGGCTGTTTTAGCTATCACTTCTTTCTACCGAAGAAAATGTTTTGGAAAGCAGATGAGGAAATTCGACCTCATTATATGGAAAATCCAGAATCATCTCAAATTTATTTAAATTACTCAAGTTGTAATTTACAAGTGTAAATGACTTCAGTAGTGCATTTGAAAACATTCATTTTAAGGTACAAAAGAATAAAATGTATGGGTCCTGCCTTGTAAGGCATACTGGAAATCTTTCCGACTTCAAGTACCAGGCTTTAATTTTAATCTCACCTCTGCTGCTTACCATTCATGACATTAAAGCTTGTGATACCTGCCTTTCCTCAAATATTGACTATATCATGCACATGCACAAAGTTAATAAGTGTATCATGAGCGTGGTAATATTGAGGTATAAACCATTAAAATGGGTATTAGGAAAATGTAGTCAAATTGCTGCAAGTTTCTAAGAAAGTGTTGTGAATGATAAGAGATTCAGATTGAGCTTTAGAAAGTGAAAAGATGGTGGGGAAGAGTGAATAGTTAGAAACCTTAAAAATGTAAGTATGGCATCATACCACAGTGCTACATTCTTAAAAGTGAATCCCACCAGCTGTTTACATTTTAATGTTATTGTTTAATGTGAGCAGCTAATTGAAATCTTGATTGATAAGATTTACATAGCTTAGAAATGGTTAATTCTTATATTAACAAGAGAGTATCATAGCAATAGGGCAGGCACCGTCTTTTCAGTGTGTTTAATAGTCCTTGTTCATTGTTTGCATTTATTGTTAAGTCTGTAATTTAGTATTTTCAAAAGGACTTTGGTAGTCTGTAAATTTTCTGAACCTAAGTGCTGCTTTCTGTATTAGGACTGTTTTATTACTATTTTCTACAAGAGCTATAAGACAAGTAAAAGTGTTTGATGTTTGATAGGTTTTGTGTGGGCTAAGCAGATCTATCAATGGTATTTCTCCCTAATAGTAAATCAGTCACAGATACTTGTCACTTTTCATCTTTTATGCTCCTTTTTGCTATATAATTTCAGCTTTCCACTGTCTGATGAAAAAAAAACTTTAAAATATTTACCACCTATATTCAAAACATATACTTTATTGGGGTAGGACAAAAACCAGTAATATGATGTAGACACTCAAGGATATAATAGGAAAGGAAAATATATATACACAGATAACTGTAATGCAAAACACATTGCTGCTATGTGTCATGAGTTCTGTAGGATTTCAGATTATAGAAAGCATTTTTAACAGCTGATGAAAAATGTTTTTGTGGACGCAGGGGCATTTGACTAATTCACATAGCTTGTAAATTAATATTAACATGGCAGTGTGGTGTAAGAATCCTAAAATAGCTGAGATTCCAGTGCCAAAGATTTTTATCTTTGTAAATTGCAAAAATCATTTCAATCCAGTAAATGTATTCCAGTAAACATTACCACAAATAATAATTTAAGGAAAATGTTTGTACTTATATAATAAATGTTTTATGTATGGTGGGTAATTGATGTTTTTATATTTTTAGGCCATGAATATTGTGGTTCCTTTCATGTTTAAATATGCTGTAGACAGCCTCAACCAGATGTCGGGAAACATGCTGAACCTGAGTGATGCACCAAATACAGTTGCAACCATGGCAACAGCAGTTCTGATTGGCTGTATGTGTGATTCTTTAATCTGTCTACAGGTGTTGACTTTCTTCAAGAAGGTTTCATCATATTTGAGCAGATGACCTTTTCACCACAAATATAACTTAGCATTTTGGATTTTATTATTTTATGTGAGATTTGTTTTGATCTGTTTTTGAAAATTCGTTGTATGCTATGCTTTGCAAAACTTCTGTGATGCAGTAGCATTTTCCATGTTTGAAAAAAAGAATAATATAAAATAAGACATTAAATGTATTACCACCACCTTCACTAGGCTTTTTATAAGATATCTTTCTAGAAAAGCCAGTTGTTTTCTTAATGTTAATATGAAATGGAAGTAGCTAATTAATGATATATGAATATTAGTGCTTTGTTAAAATATATTCAGTGACTGTGACACACAAATACAATTTGAAAATAATAAAATGTTCTTTCAAATGAACAGGGGCCCCATATATTTGAAAGGGCACTTCAAGACGTCAGAGACAGAAGCAGGGACTTCCTAAAAGCACTTGACTCTTCAGGATCTAAGCCTTTTGCATTTGTTATTTGAGAGAATTGAATTAGATATTGTACACTTATCAACAATAAAGCCACCTGGGTTATTCTGTATTAAAAATATTTTAATTGGAAAAAATCTTTCAGCATTTGAAATCCAGGGTCAGATACCACTGAAAGGGATTTATGATGATGAAAAGGTTAATACTCATTAGAGTAGATGAGTTCTATGCTTCTTTTAGTGTAAATATTCTGTATTATATTTATTGGCTGAATTATTCATTGTTTAAAGATTTCCTGCAGCCTTGCCACTTACACTGCTATGATTCTAATGTTTCTATGCCCCCTCTACTTTTTTCTTTTGTTGTATTAGATGGTGTATCAAGAGCCGGAGCTGCCTTTTTCAATGAAGTTCGAAATGCAGTATTTGGCAAAGTAGCTCAAAATTCAATCCGAAGAATAGCCAAAAATGTATTTCTCCATCTTCACAACTTGGATCTGGGTTTCCATTTGAGCAGACAGACAGGAGCTTTATCTAAGGCTATTGACAGAGGGACAAGGGGTATTAGTTTTGTCCTCAGTGCTTTAGTGTTTAATCTTCTCCCTATTGTGTTTGAGATGACGCTTGTCAGTAGTGTTCTGGTAAGTAATGCAGTTTTTCATAATAAGATTTTATCTTGCAATCTTATTAATAGCAAATTAATATGAAGCTGCTATGCTCTTGCATACCACGATGCCAGAAAGATTATGCCGGTTATTAGGACGGTTCGAATTCTTTATCATTTTTAGACACCTAGATCTTTGATTAGTGCTTGTAATGTTCTCTTTCCAAGAATTGTATATGTCACACATTTGATTGATGTGCTCAGAATATTTAGATTTCTGTTTATCAGTCCTAACATGTTAAAATATTATAATCTTTAAATTAATTCCTTTTTAGGCTTACACTGTTTCAGTGTTAGAATTTGATGGTATAATCGTGGCAGGTGCAATTTGACTTTCTTTTCATGTTACCTTGAGTAGATTGTCTCAGTTATTTGATTTTTTAATACATTATTGATTAATGTAACATATCAGTATCATAGTTTTTATAAATATCCTTTGAAATTTGCTATTGTGATGCTATAAAGTGACAAGAAAAGCAATCACTTCCTTTTTTAAAGTTTTGTTTCATTATATTGTTTTTAAAACAATGATTTTAAGAAAAGAAATATTTTTATATATCTGAAGTATATAGTATCTTAAATAATACTTTCAAAGAAAACAATATTCTCTATAAACTTTCCATTTTGACAATTATTAGACTAAAATTTAAACTATGAACTGCTATATCTAGTTATAATTTTGATTCAAAATGTAATTAAGCATGGTTCATAATCATCTTTTACTAAACTAATTATTTTTGCATTTTTAAAAATTATATTGTATTCGATTTTATTTTACATGATAGAGAATGTTGCCAGATTTTCTTTTACATATCTGATAAATGTCTCGCTTTTCCTATTTATGGGTGAAAAATGAAAGTCAAGGACAATTCAATCACTTCTCATTTCCTTCTTGACTTCTTTTTCTAGTATTACAAGTGTGGTGCCCAGTTTGCATTGGTGACCCTAGGAACACTTGGTGCATATACAGCATTCACAGTTGCAGTTACACGGTGGAGGTATGGTAGTTCCCAGAGGCCAGTCAAGGCTGCAGAAATTAGTAATGGTATAGTATATGTCTCATGCTGTGTAAATTTTTGTTTTACAGAACTAGATTTAGAATTGAAATGAACAAAGCAGATAATGACGCAGGTAACGCTGCTATTGACTCACTGCTGAATTATGAAACTGTGAAGGTAATCTGTTTCAGTATCTTTTCATCAGCTTTTCACACTGACTGAGAGTTGTTCTGTCATTTAATTTAATAGGAGCTGTAAGAACATCAGATTAGGATAGGATCTCTAGGTGTAGTGAAATAAGACACCTTCATTTTTCTTTTGTTTAGAAATGTTCTCCTTTCCTCTTCAGTTTTTGTTTGGAAATATAGGAATTTTACCTTCTGAATTAGTTTATAAATGATCATAAATATATGATTAACATCTTGATTACAAATGAATATTAGCTAATTCAGTTAACATGAAAGTTCTTGTTCCTCTTTTTTCCTTCAGAAAGCATAGTGCTTTTCCTTAATTCTTTCGTTCATTTTTGCTCTCCTTCACTTTATAATTGCTGAGTTCCTCTCATATACAAAGCACTATACCAAGCAATATGGTGGGAGAAGACTATAATGTCTTCCTTGACTTCCCGTAATTTTATAAGCTGTTAGAAAAGTTAAAATAAGTATTCAGATGACTAGTCGAAAGGCATGATATGGTAAGGGCAGTGGAAACTATGAATTTAAGGCATGAGGTTAAGGCTTTGTGGAAGAAGTGTTAACTAGTAGAAGGCATGTTTAAATAAGCTCTAGGCTCCAATTTATTAGCTAGTTAGTAAATGTTTGTTAAATGAATTTGGAATATATTGGAATATAATCCATTATTTGAAACCTTCAGGAATACAATAATCTAATATATTGAAAGTCAATATATACATACATATATGCTTATATGTTCCTGGTTTTATTTTTGAAAATTTTATACATGTATATAATGTATTGTGATTATAATCTCCCCCCAATATCCTTTCTTATCCCCTTTCCATTATCCCTTCTTATCCCTTTCTTACTCCTGCTGATCCATTTCTTTCATCAAAGTTGAATTTTATGATAGGATCTTTAATACCAAAGTATATTCATATATGAAGTGTAATACAACTTACACCAATTGCATAAAAGAGTGTATATTCTAATTTGTTCATAGTTACTATTTTATATATTTATAGTATTTTAATAATGAAAAATATGAAGCACAGAGATACGATGGATTTTTGAAGACATATGAGACTGCTTCATTGAAAAGTACCTCTACTCTGGCTATGCTGAACTTTGGCCAAAGTGCTATTTTCAGTGTTGGGTTAACAGCTATAATGGTGCTTGCCAGTCAGGGAATTGTGGCAGGTAATGGATCTATGCTTATCACATTTAGAGACTATTATAAATGGGTTAATGGAAGGAATAAGCTATTGTATTAGTTGTAAAGTGTATGTATTAGTTGTAAAGTGTGCTTGGTAAAGCACTTAGACATTTCAGAGGATTTTTCTTTTCCTATCAGAATGTGTTTTCTTGATTGATAATTCTTTTACTGACTTACTCATTGAATGAAAGTACTGTTTATTCATTTTATGGGTCTGTAGCCTGATTCTTTAGGAGAATTTTTTAATTAAGCATGTAAAATTTTCCCCTTTATGATACCTTTGTAAAGAATAATGTTTTTATTAATTTGAGACACCAACCTTTTTAGTGTCTAGTATTTTTAATTTTTGATATAGACCTGGAGACCAATGCCATTAATTTACTGGTTAGTTTAAAGGTCTTGTTTTATAATTCAGTAGCATCCTAGTAGGTTTTTTTCATTTACAAATAATGTGTGTGCATGGTCTTATTCAATCAGTGTGACATTTATATGAGATGTATTGTCTTTCTTGGTCATGATAGACTCCAATTTTAATATATGTGCTTTTATAAATTTTCCTTTTTAGTATATGTGCTGCTGAAGCGAGCACTAAATTTTCCTTTTTATACTGTACAAGAAATCTTTGCTTATGCTTTAGAGGGAAAAATGGAAATATTTTTAACCTTCCACTTGTATCATTACTTAAAAAACTATTCTTTCTGTATATTATACATAGTATTTTAGGTATGCTTTTCCCTTCCCATGCAATATACATCAGGTTCCTACGTTACCTAATTGATGCATTAATATACTGTATAACTTGTGTCAGCTTAAATGCTGCTGATTATGTTCATTTATAACTATGTGTCCTAGAAATTGGCTAGAAAACTCTGTCTTAGGCTGGAAAGTTTATACCTTTTCTTTCTTTTTCAAACTGCATAATAAGGTGCCCTTACAGTTGGAGATCTAGTAATGGTGAACGGACTGCTTTTTCAACTTTCATTACCCCTTAACTTCCTGGGAACTGTATATAGAGAGACAAGGCAAGCACTCATAGACATGAACACCTTGTTTACTCTGCTCAAGGTAGACACGCGGATTAAAGTAAGTAATGTATATAGTAGCTTTTTAAAAAGAACATGGAATACTGTCTCACTAATACTGGGTTGTTCCAGGACAGTGGTTCTCAACCAACAGGGGGTCACATATCAGATATCCTGCATATCAGATATTTACATTAAAATTCATAACAAAATTGCAGTCATGAAGTAGCAACAAACGTAATTTATGGTTGGGGGTCATAACAGCATGAGGAACTGTATTGTCACAGCAATGGGAAGGTTGAGAAACACTGATCTAGTAGAATATTCTTACATCACTAAGTTAGACAAACAATTTCCTCACTGTCATCTCTTCCCCAGCTCCTCACCATGAAAATCTTCCCTGGACAGTGATGGCATACACCTTTTATCCCAGAAGCAGGCAGATATTTGTGAGTTCAAGACCAGTCTGAGCTACAAAGCAAGTTCTAGGACTGCCAGAGCTGTTGTTAACAGAGAAACCCTGTCTTGAAAAGCCAAAAAATATAAAGAAAAACTGAAAGTCTTCCCAGCAACCAAAATATATAGGAATTTCTTACCTGCTCATTTTTATGCAATGAGTAATGAAAACGCATACTTGGAAGTAACCCTATCCCATTTGTATAAACGTCCTTTCCCATACTTTTCCTTTCCTCTCTGTTAATTGAAAACATTGTCTAAAGAATTTACTTTAGGGTAGAGCCAAACGAGGGTGAGAGTGTGAAGACGGCAGCGCTGAGGAGACAAAGCCCAAGACGCTGACGGTGGAAGCGCCACCAGCGCTGAGTGAAAATGTGCTATTTGGAGTGGGAAACCCTCTTCTCGACATCTCTGCTGTAGCAGACAAAGATTTCCTTGATAAGCATTCACTGAAACCAAATGACCAGATCTTGGCTGAAGACAAGCACAAGGAATTGTTTGATGAACTTGTAAAAAAAAAAAGTTGAATATCATGCTGGTGGCTCTACCCAGAATTAAATTAAAGTGGCTCAGTGGATGATCCAGGAGCCACACAAACCAGCAACATTCTTTGGATGCATTGGAATAGATAAATTTGGGGAGGTCCTGAAGAGTAAAGCTGCTGAAGCCCATGTAGATGCCCATTACTATGAACAGAATGAGCAGCCAACTGGAACCTGTGCCGCATGTATTAGTGGTGGCAACAGGTCCCTGGTTGCTAACCTTGTTGCTGCCAACTGTTACAAAAAGGAGAAGCATCTTGATCTGGAGAAGAGCTAGATGCTGGTAGAGAAGGCCAGAGTGTACTACATAGCAGGCTTTTTTCTTACAGTCTCCCCAGAGTCCATATTGAAAGTGGCTCACTACGCTGCTGAGAACAACAGGGTCTTCACTTCAAACTTGTCTGCACCGTTTATTAGCCATTTCTTCAAGGAATCCTTGATGGAAGTCATGCCTTACATTGACATCCTCTTTGAAAATGCAACGGAATCTGCCACTTTTGCTAAAGAGCAAGGCTTTGAGACTAAAGACATTAAAGAAATAGCCAAAATGGCACAGGCTCTTCCTAAGGTGAACTCAAAGAGGCAGAGGACCGTGATCTTCACACAAGGGAGAGAAGACTCTGTAGTGACTACAGAAAATGAAGTCATGGCTTTTGCTGTCTTGGATCAAAACCAGAAAGAAATCATTGACACCAGTGGATCCAAAGATGCATTCAATGGAGGGTTTCTCTCTCAGCTGGTCTATAGCAAGCCTCGGATTGAATGTATACACAACAGCCACTATGCAGCAAATGTCATCATTAGGCGAACTGGCTGTACTTTTCCTGAGAAGCCAGAGTTCCACTGATGGAAGAAAGAAAACTCAGGCTGGGAGGTTCAGGCTGAGGTGACCCCGTCCTGAGTGTTCCTGCCATAAGAAAGAATAAACGTATCTGCTGTCTTTGCCAACCGTGAATCTCATTAATTTATAGGGCTCAGTACTGCTCCTAGAACCTTTAGTATTTGAAAGGTACAGAAATGTTTTTCACACTAAATTATTCCACATAAGCTCTTCAGTGTACTTCAGACATGTGACAGACTTGGGACAACTGATTCCCCCAACATTTGCATCATGTTATTCAAATCATATTCTGTGCTTACTGATGGTACTCTGTAATTTGATACAAATAAATTACTATATAGAAACAAAAAGAATTTACTTTAAGTAGTAAATTGTTTTTCTTTTTTCTTCCTTCCTAGGACAAAGTGATGGCATCTCCCCTTCAAATAACACCACAGACAGCTACAGTGGCCTTTGATAATGTGCATTTTGAGTACATTGAAGGACAGAAAGTCCTTAGTGGAGTATCTTTCGAAGTCCCTGCAGGAAAGAAAGTGGCCATTGTAGGAGGTAGTGGGTCAGGGTGAGTAATTTAGTTATTTATAAAATTCTACATTATTGACTGATAATTCTGGATGTGAATTTTTTTATGATAAAGAAATAATTACTCTACTTATATGGAGCTTTCCTAATGACAACAGATACTGATTAACCTTTCTTCATCTCTAATTTCAGAAAAAGCACAATAGTGAGGCTGCTCTTTCGCTTCTATGAGCCTCAAAAGGGTAGCATTTACCTTGCTGGTCAAAATATACAAGATGTGAGCCTGGAAAGCCTTCGAAGGGCAGTGGGAGTAGTGCCTCAGGTATTTTAAAACAAAAATGTAACTGTGAGAGAGTTGATGGATATATTACTATAATATTTTGAATCCAAGGAGTCAACCTATGCTAATGAAGTGGGCATTGTTAGACCTTTCAAGTGAAATTCTGCTACCAAGAGGAATTCTTTTTTTGAGACAGCATCTCACCATGTACTCCTGGCTATCATGGAATTCACTATGTAAATAAGAATGTCCTCAATCAAACAGACATAGTTTCTAACCATAGCTGTTTTATCAGTTCTGTGGCACTAGTCTTTCCTCATTTCTAAAATAAACATATTATTTATGAGAAACAGTTATTATAGAGAATATACACACATACATATATATGCACCAGACACAATACCCACAATATAAGTGTTCAGAAAATGGAAGCTCATAATTTTGAATAACTTTCAATATATTACATTTATAATTACAAAGTAACTTATCTGCCAACCTCAAGTTTTATGCCTCATTTGCTACTGTATCCTCTTCACTATCAGGCAAACAGTGCATGACTGATAGTAATAATTTAAAAATATTTTGTAAGTGATGTGGGAACAGGGAAGTACATTCAAATTAAAACCTGATAAAACAGAAGGAGTGAAGTCCATAAAGGAGTCTGAAGCTGTATCTGAATAGTAAAGTACTTGTTTGATATTCACTGGTAAAATTGATTCATGAAATCAGTATCAGATCTCTGAAAGAACTGATATGTGGGAAAGGAGAAAACCTCCAAGAAAGTCATCAGGAAGAAAATGGTTATCATACCTGTAATCCCAGTGCTTGGGAGGCTATAAGAGGATAATTGAAGTTTGAGGCAACCCAGGCTCTAGTGCATTCCAGGCAGGCCTTGACTACAGAGTGAAATTCTGTCTTCTAAAAAGCCAAAACAAAAAGAGTGATCAGACAGGGATATGCCAATTATAAAAGGTCCCCAAGTGCTCCAGCATATGGCACTTCTTTCTATCCCGTCTTTTGCTGAGAATCCCAAATTTTAGTGGATATGAGTCACCTAGGGAGATTGTGGAAATTCATTTCTTTTTCATATGGTCTGCTTCTGATTTTGGAGTTCATTATGAGCCCGGAAACCTGTTTATTTAAAATATGCATCTTAGATGATTCTGATAGATGGTTTGTAAGACTAACTATGTGTTAAGAAACATTGACCTACACTGTTTGTCAAGTGAATTGCATTCTGGGCTGTCACTTCATATGGTTCTGTGTTCAAATTTATGTGTCTTATTTTGGCCAATCTATTGTGTGCTATATAATGATTTCACTTACCCTTTTGAAAAACAAGACATTGAATTCACAAAGGAAAAAAAACTGTTTATCCTTATTGAAGACATTAGTAATATAAAATTAGGTGAAAATGAAATAACACCTACTACATTGATAAATGTAGTTGTTTCATTTTATTCTTTTCTCTTTGGGGGCACGCAACCCAGCTCCCAAATAATCACATGGATACTTATTCTTACTTATGAATCCATGGTCTTAGCTTGGCTTGTTTCTAGCCAGTTTTTCTTAAATTATCTTGACTACGTTTTGCCTTTTGGCTTTTACCTTTCTCTATGCTATATACTTTTCTTCCCTTCTTACTCTGTTGCTGATTGTGTAACTGTGTGGCTGAGCCCTCATGTTCTTCTCTCCTTTTCTCACTCCTCCCTCTTCTCTCATTTTCTCCTATTTTCTCTCTGCCTGACAGTCCCATGTATCCTTTCTCCTGCCTTGCTATTGGCTGTTCAGCTCTTTATTAAACCAATCAAGTGTTTTGGGCATACAAAATAACCCAGATTCACAGAGTTAAATAACTGAAACATAAAAGAATGCAACACATCTTTGTATCATTAAACAAACATTCCACAGCATAAACAAATATAACATATCTTAAACTAATAGTCCACAACAGATAGAGATTTTGACAATCAGAATATCCAGTTTAGACCTAACTCTATAAAATGGGCAGCCTTGCTCTTCTGAGGGAAGAATATGGCTTTCATTATAAGTAAATTGGCAATACATATAAAGTTCTGGGGAAATATTGTAATAAGTATGGCCCTAGGAAATTGTAGTAAGAAATTAAAAGGTACAGACATGGGTCTTTACATACAATGTTAACTACAGCATTATTTATAATAGTGAAAGTTGGATACAATATAAATATCTAATGATAATTGAATGCTTGAAGTTTCATACGTTTAAGTGATATGTGGTCACTTTTAAGCATTAAATTTTTTCAAATTATATTATTAGTGTTGTTGTTTAACATATGTGGGAATTTTTGCCTACATGTAAATCTTTGTACACATGCATCCCGGTGCTTGAAAAGACCAGAAGAGGGATTTGGATTTCTTGAATCTGGGATTAGAGATGACCTTGCCTATGTACTGGGAATTGAACCAGTGAGCCATATCTCCAGCTCAGCATTAAAGTTCTAAAAAACATTGAGTATCATGAATAGTATGTCAGTACAAAGTTTGCTGAAACAAGGATTGATGTGGGGTATTACTTTAACTATGTAAAGATGGGTTGCATTTGTTTATGCTACACTTGTTTAATTGTGTGTAATATGGGCTGCATTTGTTTGCACTGTGTTTATTTAATGATATAAAGATGTGTCATTTTGCCTCCCTAAGGCACCTGATTAGTCTAATGAAAAGCTGAATGGCCAATAGCTAGGCAGTAAAGGGATAGACAGAGCTGGCAGGCAGAGAGAATAAGTAGGAGAAGAAATCCAGGCTCAAGAGAGAAGAGAACCAGGGGAAAAAGAGGGAGACACCTAGGGCCAACCAGCCAGGCAGTGAAAGTAGAGCATACAAAACATAGATTAAGAGAAGCAAGTTAAATTAAATTATAAGACCACAAGCATAAGCAGAGGCCAAGCATTCATAACTAATATTAAGTCTCTGTGTCTTTATTTGGGGACTGGCAATTCAAGAAAGCCTGGTACAAAGATGTCAAACAAAATATTCCAGCTATACAACATAGATTAATACTTGCAGGATACTTGCAGGTAGAGAAAAATGGAAAAATAGCAAAGTATTAATGTTTTTCTTGACAATAAAGTTAATATATTATTTATTTTCTTAAATTTGTCAAGAATGCATGTATGTATGTATGTACGTATGTATGAATGTATATGGTGCATACCATGTTGTATCATACCTACAGATAGTTCTGTGGTTACTTAAAAAACTAAATTAGTAGTTGCATTATTTCATATAATTACCCATATTTAGTGTTTGACAAGAGTATTTAGCAAAAATCATGAAGAAAGTTCATTTGTAGTTTGCTTCGGGAGATAGGGTCTCACTCTGTAGTGCAGACTAGCATTAAGCTCATGGTACTCCTACTTCTGACTCCAATTGCTAGGATTATAAAGGTGGGCCACCACACCTGTTTAGTTAAATCTTATTTTATCAATTTCTGTTGTATTCTTCTACTTTCCAGTTTGCATTTGTTAATCTTTCCAGAATATAAAATACTGTAAAATAGTGTATAGAACTTTGAGCTTATTTGGTACCGTCTCACTATGAGAAGTTTATATTAGTAGTAGATATATAATGACCAGAATAATATCTGAAATTCTGAGCCTAAAAATCATGTAAAATAAGCCCTTTACTGGGTCTTCTGGTGAATATTAGCAAGTAGAGCCATTTTAGTTCATCTTATTCCCAACCATTCAAAGACTAAAAAAAAAAAATAATGGGAGATGAATGCTTCCTTGAAATAAATTATCTTTAGTATGCCATGTCAGAACAAGGTGAATTATTAAATGAAAGCTTGCAGTGAACTTCCTCTAACAAATACATACATGATGCACAAATTCTTTCTTTGCTGAGTTTGAAGTTCAAAATAAAAACTTCTTATAAATACAGGGAAATATATTTAACTTCATCAGTAATCCAGGAAATGCTAATATAAACAAAAAATACATTTCACTCTAAAAGTCCCAAGTGAAAATGAGTAATAAGCAGGGTTGCTAAAGGTATGAAGATTAAGCAATCTTACATGCCACTAAGTAGAACATGCTCATACATTACTAGCTACTGTTTTTACAGGACAACTGAGCAATAATATTACAGAGTAGACACAAGTTTAACTTCTGATCTATCAGTCAACATCTAGAACTCCTTCTTGCATAAATTTTACTCATGTATGTAAAGCCTTTTATATTATGCTATTTTCTTTCAATATATTAATCACATTAATGCATATTAATGGGGGAATAAGTAAATTATATCTATAATATGAAATGTGTAACTGTTAAAAGAAGGAAGTATGTTCTAACATTGAGAATGGACAATCTTGAGAATATGTAAATAGAAAAAGCAATTTGCAAAATAGTATGTGTAGACTGGGTTCCCTTGCATTGAAAAAAGGTATATGGTTAAGCATTCAAATGTCTAGAAATAAATCTGGAAATAACATAATAAATTATACATGGTAATTAACTCCAAAAAGGAACCTGAGACTACAGGACATTTATCTAATAAAAGGAATTGTTATGGTTTGGTATTTACTATTACTTTATTATGTCTTTATACTTTTAAAATTGTATATAATGAATATATATGCATGTGTGTCTATATAAATCTGCTTCAGGATGCTGTCCTCTTCCATAACACTATCTACTACAACCTTTTATATGGAAACATCAATGCTTCACCAGAGGAAGTATATGCAGTAGCAAAATTAGCTGGTCTTCATGATGCAATTCTTCGAATGCCACATGGTTATGACACACAAGTAGGGGAACGAGGACTCAAGCTATCAGGTGAGCAAAGATTTTAAATCTGCTTGTATATTTTCAAACCAATTTGTTGAGACTGTTTATATTATTGATGGAATCTCAGGTGTATCAGTGTTATTGTATGATCCATAACTTTTATATTTAAGACAAGTCAAGACCGTTACTGTCCTCAGATATAGTAAAAGTAGAGTTCAGTAGTTTAGTACTGAAGAGTGTATCTCTCATCTCATTTACTAGGGGAAGTTCAGTTGTCTAGACATCTTTACACTTTGTCCTGTTCATTTTCTTATCCTTCTTAGTTAGCTCACTGGTGAAAGAAATTTTGAGGTTTGTATGTTTCTATGTAAATCTTTAATCATGAGATGGCATGTTTAATGATAAACTTAAAATGACTAATTTTTGAGTAATTCATTTATATACAAGATTTATTAAGTATACACCATGCATAACTCCTGTGCCAAATTATTTATGAGTAAATGGGCCTGCTATCAGGGAATTTGTTGTCTATTAGAAATTTTTTTATTTAGGTTAAGAATATTTTAAGTAAAGATTTTGTAGTTAAGTTGGTTTGTGGTCATTATTTAGTCATAACTTAGTAGTAGATGTTTATCATTTCAGTCTACCTTATATAATTTATATAATTTGCCATTATAGTTAAGAGAAGGTAAGGGTCAAGACTATGCTGGGGAAACCCACAAAAACAGCTGACCTGAGCAAGTGGGAGCTCACTGACTTCAGACTAACAGCTGGGGAACCATCATAGGACCAAACCAGGCCCCCTGAACGTGGGTGTCAGTTGGGAGGCCTGGGCAGTCAATGGGGTCTCCAGCAGTGGAACCAGTGTTTATCCCAAGTGCATGAGTGGACTTTGGGAGCCCATTCCCTGTGAATAAATACTCTCTCAGCCTAGATAAACAGGGGAGGGCCTAGGTTCTGCCCCAAATGATCTGTCAGACTTTGATGATCCCTCATGAGAGGCCTCTCTCTCCCTGGGGAGTGGATGGGGGATCAGTGGGGGACATGGGAGGATGGGAGGGAGAGGGAACTGGGATTTGTAAGTAAAATAAGATTGTTTCTAATTTAAATAAAAATTTACTTTAAAATGTATTTGGTATACACTCTTATTTTTGAGAAATGTTATGAAATAACAGCTTATTTCAAAACATCCTTAAATACTAGCAGATTGGAACCTTTTTATGTTAAGTCATAAATTAGATATTCATGGTTTCAAGTTTTCTACTTTCAGATACTGTATTTGTCTTTTACTTTGTGTTGATTCTTTGCTAATGAATTTTTATCTAAGGTTGTTACATATTCAAATATGTGTAATAGAAAGTAACATATAATAAACATGCTTGTGGTAAGAACAATTGGAGAATCAAACTTGTTACTTCTCATTTTTATTCATTTTACTGCCATGAATCAGAGATTCATTAAGATTGCATTTGAATTCAGGGGAATATGGTTTGTCAAAGGAAACCATATATAGACTTAGAGTGAACAATTCAATAAAATGACAAGTGATAAAGAGTTTAGGTAAATGTTGCAGGTATAACTTGACAGTTGTAATCAGAAGAAATACTAGAAACAGAATACTCATCTATTATGTTTCCTATAATTGAAATCTTTCTTTTCCAGGAGGAGAAAAACAGAGGGTAGCAATTGCAAGAGCCATTTTGAAGGACCCCCCAGTTATTATCTATGATGAAGCTACTTCATCATTAGATTCAATAACTGAAGAGGTCAGTGACAATGAAAATAACAAAACAAACTTTTTTCCCTCGGAAGCTTCAATACAATGTCTGTTTTACATAGAGAAGTAGTTCTTAACCATCCTAATGCTGTGATCCTTTAATACAGTCCCTCATGTTGTGGAAACCCCAACCTTAAAATTATGTTTATTGCTACTTCATAATTTTGATACTTTTATGAGTTGAAGTATAAATATCTGTTATGCAAGATATATTATGTGCAACCCCTGTGAAAGGGTCATGCGACTCCCAAAGGGGTCACAAGTCACAGGTTGAGAACCACTGACTTAGTGTTTTGAATGAATTTCAGTAGGAGGTATTATAAAGTAAAATACCTAACCCCTTCTTGCAATATGGCAAGTGTTAATGAATGCTACAAAAGCAGGCTGCATTGAACCAGATAATGCATTGTTACACCTGTTCACAAATATGCCTTCTTTTGGAAATGTGTGATATCATATGCTGTCCTGTTATATTACTCTTGCATCTTGCAAAGCTGTACATATTACCCAACATGCTAGTGAGGGAAGAAAGTTTTACTGTCTTGTCATTTAGCATTCCTTAATAGAAGTCATGTAAATGACTCTGACACAGTATATACCAGAGTGCCGTTCACTTACTATTGAAATGCAAGTCAGACACATACACCCCTTAGACTGGTATCATCTGTATTCATTTCACAAAAGTGATGTGCATCAGCAAGACTTTTGTAACAATGATGTCATAATGCTACCCCAACTAGTACAAGACATCTTATAATATCTTTATATTACATACAAAAGTTTTAGCAGGAATGATAATTTCATGTAGGTTAATCTGTAACTAAAGATAAGCAAATGTTGCCATTTGCTACTTTTTTTTGTATTTACAAGACAGGGTTTCTATGTATTGTTTTGTAGGCTGTCTGTCCAGCCTGGCCTCAAACTCACAGAGATCCGCCTGCCTCTGCCTCCCAAGTGCTGGGATTAAAGGCGTGCGCCACCACCGCCCGGCGTCCATTTGCTACTTTTCACCAAGTACCTGGTATAAATCTGATGTTAAGATAGAGGTCTACTTTTAGCTTTACAGACAATGTGATATGATATTTACATGTGGAATTAAATTTTAGGAAACATTATTTTATCAGCATCGTATTTAAAAGTTTAATGTGGATTCTTTTGAGAATTATATTTTGAGTGAACATTGAACAGAACTAGATCCCATTCAAAAGAGAATAACAGCCTACTTATGAAAATTTCATACCTAAATATATGTCATACAAGTTACAAGCTAGCAAGATGAAATTTGTAACAGCATAGATTGTTATTTCAGAGAATATAACCCTTTGAGCATTTACAAAGAATTCCTCAGAGGAAGAAGTCTTGATAGATTTCAGTGAGCCCTTTTAATAGGTACAGGGAAGTCAGAATTTAAGTTTTTATAGGTAAGAAAGGAGAGAGAATCCCTACAAACATCCTAGTAAAACATAAGGTCTCCTTTTAAGAAAACAGTTTCTCCCGGTAATTTTATGCTTTTAAAACATGCAGTGTTTAGAAATACCTATGGGAAGCCAGTGAGTATATCCCCATTACCCACACTGTTTCTCTATCCAACTAGCTCTGTTTAGGCCCAGGTTTCTAAAGATAATTGAATACATATGTCTTACACTTTATAGGCAGTATACAAAATCTACTTTCTAGAATTCATTAAGAACTCAAAATGTGGACAGGCACACCTTTAATTACAGCAGTTTAAGGCTAATTGAATCTACATAGTAAGTTTTGTACCAGCCATGGGTACATACTGAGACCCTGTCTCAAAAAACAAGCAAGAACTCAAAATGCTTTTGGGAAAAATGGGCTTCCTCAAGTTGAAAGTACTTGGATGTGTTTTGCCTTTGAACTAAGAAAGAACTAATGTTCCTTTGTGCTTTTAGACTCCTGTCTTTCTTTGAGGTTTTTTTTGTTTTGTTTTGTTTTCTCTGCATCCTATCATTTGAGTACCTCCTCATTTTGTTCTTACTGATAGGATTATATATGACTATGCTCCTATGCGCCTCATATCACTAGAGTTTGTCTTTTTTAAAACATAGAAGATAATATCCTTGTCCCAGGTATTTTAGTGACATGCTGTCTATATAAATGATATTTTTCTTATATCCTACTTATGTTTATTTCCTATTTTTTTCTGTTTTTTCTTCCTTTTATTTCTCTTAGTAAGTATTAGAGGTAAAAAATTTAGTGCTGATAAAAATTCCTAAGTTCCTTTAGGAAAGATAGGATTGTTTTAATTTACATTAACCTAATAAGAGCTCCGGTTTGGTTTTCTCCTACTTTTCTCAAACTTGTAGACTATTCTTGGTGCCATGAGAGATGTGGTCAAGCACAGAACTTCTATTTTCATTGCACACAGATTGTCAACTGTGGTTGATGCAGACGAAATCATTGTCCTGAGCCAGGTAAGAGATGAACTTGAAAAGTTAGTATTCATTGCTACTCTGCCTTAGTTAGAGAAGTTTCTCTCTGCAATGATAGGCAGTGAATGTAGGAACTCGTGACTGCTCCAAGTACTGAAAATAACTGACAGTTGATTGTTCAGCCCTAAACATCAGTTTGTACCACTCCCTCTAATACTTGGGGAACATGGAGGAATGGTGGGGTTGAGGGGACAAAAAGCAGAAGATAGGGAAAAAGGCTGTGAAATGCTGTTTTCTGGGTGTGCACAAAACTGAGCTAGCTAGTCAGCAGTCAAGTCATGAATACAGGATGGAGTCACAGGGTCGTATCCTTCTCCAAGGAACTATTGACTACTTATGGATTCTGAGAGGGCAGTCACTGTCTTCACTTGTGTACCCTAGGTGAACTCACCAGACTCCAGTGGCTGTTTCTAAAGAATGGTCATATAGACTGTCCTGGTAAAAATCAGTGGATCACAAAACAAAAGGACATGAATGTAGGAAATGCACTTATAGGGAGGAGGAGGTTTAACAGGGGGGAAAGGAAGACAAGAGAAGGCGCAGTGGTCAAAGTAATCAGTAAATTTTATGTATGTGTATTAACTCATAAAAGAAATAGAAGCCTTAAAAGGAAAAAAATGATAGTATTTGAGGAATATTAGAAATAGCTATAGGTACCCAAAATTTTATTATTGCATCTAATTAAGTATTACAGAATTTGTGTTCTTTAGATGAGATTGAATCCTAGTAGTATTCTGGTTTTAGTCACTTTTGTAGGAAATAATACATGAAATTTTCAAGAAGGAGAAACTATATTAGCTCACTCTTTATTAAAGTACTAAAAGCAAATGTTTGATCAGGAAAGTATTAGTTCTTCAATATAGAAGCATATTTTCTATATAAAATAATTTTTCTGCATTCATTTTTGCTCTTAATAGATCTTTGTACACTGTCTTTGATGCATTTTCATGGTTCTCATGCTATATATAACCTTAATGTCTTAAAGATTACAATTAAATTGAAACGATCATTTTTAAACATGACCAGTTATAGTTTGTTTTCCTTATAGGTAAAGTAAAAAAATCCTTTTTTTAAATCACTTTTGAGGGAAATGCTATACCAGCTTATTATTAAAATTTTCTCAGCATCATTATTGTAATTGACAGATTTGAAAATTTTTAGTAATTGTCCTTTACTCCTGTCTGTAGTGATCTCTTTCCCCTTATAGTACTTGATTATTTCTAACACTATTCAGTTTTTCGTATCATATCCAGAGCCTTTTCCATCATTATCTTTCTCTTCTAATCAGTACTTCTATATCAGGTTATTATGGAACGTGAAGGTGAGTATGAGGCTGAAAATATCAGAATTCATGTTTATATAAGAAATAGATGCCAGGCCTGAAGACACAAGCTTATAATCCCAGCTGCTAGGAAGCTGAGCCCAGGTAACTTAGTAAGACCCTTCCTCAAGATAAAAATGTAAAAGAGGGCTTGGGATATAGCTTAGTAGTAACATGTGTGAAGCCCTGGGTTCAATTCCCATTACTGTTAAGACAGTTTTCAAGACTTTTTCTTACCCCTGGTTTACCCCCCTTCCCAGCTTTAGCAAGAATTTACCAAATAGTTATTTATTTCTACCATTATCTTCCTTCATCAGCAAATAATGGAAGGGTTCTTCTCCAGAAAAACCAAAGTAACCCTCAAAAGAATATCAATGTTTGGAGCTTCCAGGTATCCAAATGATGAACCTATCACAAATCATGCCCATTGAAAAGGCAATTCCCATGCACATAGCCTCCGGTTGGCCTTTTAATGTTCCATTCTTTGGTATTAGAAGAGAATAACTGAAGATCTCTAAAGCAAACAGAATGAAAGGAGTTCAATAAAATATATAAACAATGAAAAGAGCTGTAAGAAATATTTTAAAATATAATATCCCTACAAGTTATGCAAAACCAAACATTTCTAAAATATTGACAGGTGCTATTCAGAAAAGAAAAGGAAGCATATGGCATGATTTCCAGGATATATTATTGAATGAAAAAAGTGGAGTGCAAATGACATGTTGTGTACCATCTTTTGCAAGAAGGATAAGGGGAAGAATATATGTATATTTGCTTATTTTTCCAAAGAAAAATTCAGGAAGGTTAAAATAGAAACTAAAAAAATTGCTGTCTACAGGATAGAGATGAAAAAGGTTTGCAAGACATGAACAAATAAGATCTTCCTGAATATATGTTTACATTTCTTTTGCTTTTGGTCTATTTTATACATTAAAAATTGTATACACACATGTATTTGTGTGTGTGTGTGTGTATGCGTGAATGTATGTATGTATGCACAGTCCCAAACATAGTGACATGGTATGAAAACAGAAGGAACATTACTATTTGATGGGCTGAAGAGGACTAGTTGGAGGGAAGAATGTGGAAGAGAGTAAATATATTTACTAACATGTCCAGTGAAGCTCATTATTTTGTGTACTAACTAAAAACACAAAGCAAAATAAATCAAGGATACAAAAACATAAAAATTAAACACTAACAGGAAGCAAAACTGTCACATTGATAACCACACAACAAGAATAGAACCAATCCATGTAATTTTTTAATGTAATATTCCAACTATTACTCTTATTAAATGTCCTATTTTTTTCTCTGTTGCTATGATAAAACACTGACCAAAACCAACTTGGGGGAGCTTGGGGGAGTGAAAGATCTATTTGGCTTACAAGTTACAGTCTATCATTTAGAGAAGTTAAGGCAGGAGCTGATGCAGAGGCCATGGAGGAATACTGCTTGCTGGCTTACCTCCTCTGGCTTGCTCAACCTGCTTTCTTATACAGCCAAGGATTACCTGCCCATTGATGGCACCACCAACAGTGTGCTGGGGCCTTACTTAATTGATCAAGTAAATGCCCTCCAGACATGCCTACAAGCCAATATTAAGGAAGCATTCTTTCAATTCAGGTTCCTTCTTCCTGTCCCAAGCTTGTGTCAAGTTGACCAAAAAACCTAACCAGGATATTAAATATAAATATTATATTTGTTATATCATATAATTAGGATAAATTCTTCTAATCTACCTACTTAATAACTTCCCTGTGTATTTTAAAAAATACACAAATGGATTATAAAGATAAATAATCCAAAGGAAAGAGTTGGTAATTTTATGGAAATACCCATTTGAAATTATTCTATATGTAAGACTGAGCAGCATCTTACTTGGGAGAAGAAAGTTGCAAGTAAAAACAATCAGAGGAAAGGAGGACTCTCACAAGGTTATGTTTTAACAGAATTATCCATATACATTTCTTATATGAAAAGTATTCTGTCTACTGAAAAAGCCTGGGAGCAATGAATGTCTAAAAGTAATGAGCATTCCCAGCACACAGATTTCTGGCACTAAATTACTGTTTCTCACTAAAAGGAACCAAACCTTCTTCGATAAAAGCTGATCTGGGGCAGGGAAACTAATGAACACATGTCACAAGGACACAGGAACCACTTTGAATGACCTCCCACTGGCCAAATGTGGGATAATTAGAGCAGTAAAATGAATAATGGCACTAATGAGTTGTAACATACTGAATAAAAAACTAATTTCTGCATCCATGATAATACTTTTAAAACAAGAGTGCCAAGGAGAAAAGAAAAGCCCTTCTTTAAGAATACCACCAGCCAGCCTGTAGAAGGAATGATAAATTTAGAAAATCAGATTTTACAACCACCATTGCAGTAATTGTTTTAGAAAACAGTCATCCATGGCTGATAAAAACTATTGAGGAATATATTATGCAGTCAGTTTGAAAGTAAAACCCATAGATTGCTTAAATAGAGAAATTTGTAGATACCCTTAACCATAAGATCAAATTTCCTACCAGTAATGGAACAAACTGACTTCCTTACCTCCTGCTCTGATGATGCATTGAAGACATACTACCCTTTTTAAATTATTTTTTTCATTTTTAGTTATGTGTATTTGTGTGGGTCTGTGGGATATGGGGGTTGTACATGTGAGTTTAGTGTCAGGAGAGGCTAGAAGAAGTTCTTGAATCCTCTAAAACAGGACTTCCAGGCCATTGTGTGGCGCCCAAGGTGGATACTGAGAATCCAGCTCGGGTCCACTGAAAGATAAGGAAGAACTCTTAATATCTGAGCCATCTCTGACCCCATATGACCTAATAATCAGGAACAACTAGATAATTCCAAACTGAAGGGCACCCTTTATAAAAAAAAACTATAAACCATTAAGGCCTGGACATTTGAGAAATGTCAATGCCATAGAGAGAGAGAGAAGGAGGGAGGGAGGGAGGGAGTATTCTTGTTACTGCTCAGACCACAGCTCCTTTGCATTGTACTCAATAAACTGTTCTTTAAAAAGGAAAACTGTTGGGGCTGGAGAGTTGGCTCAGCAGTTAAGAGCACTAACTGTTCTTCCAGAGGTCCTGAGTTCAGTTCTCAGCAACCACATGATGCCTCACAACCACCTTGGATGAGATCTGGTACCGTCTGCTGGCCTGTAGGCAGAAGGCTGTGTACACAATAAATAAAATATTTTTTAGAAAAGGAAAACTATTTAAAGTCAGTATGTTGGTTTTCTTCACATCCTAGATGGAAAAAACAAAGGGCATCATTATAATAATTGCTAAAAGTTGAAAATGAAGTATATGTTAGATAAGAGTATTATGTCATTGCTAAATTTCTTGGGTATGATATAATTATGTCAGGCATGTAAGATTATTCCTTACTTTTAAAAGATATATAGTAATGAAACATTTGGGAGTATAATATAATTGGTATATATATGTATATATATTTATTTATACATACATATGCATATATAAACATTAGTGTATATATATATAAAACTCACAGTGTTTGACAAAAATACTGTGATTTTATATATAGGCAAAATATCCTTATTGCACATATATATACATATATGAGAGAAAATAAATATAAAGTTAGACAAAGCAAGTACGAAAGTGAAACTAAACAAGTCTCCCATCGTATTTAACAGTAGCTATCAAGATACAAATTCATTCTGGAGCAGAGTTTGGAATCCATGCCAAATCAATCAATGTTGTGTATAATAGGCATTGTTAACAAAAAGAGCTACTGGAAGAAGTAAACTTCATCTTCATGAAGTCTTCTGTATTTCATGAAATTTTATTTCAAAATTCACATGGATGTAACAATATTGTTTTTAAATCTTTTAAATCCCTATATAAATAACAATGCTGTTTATTTGAACATTTGCTGATTACAGAAAATATCATCTCTTTAGAATTTTAATCTTCTCTTTATGCCTTTCAGAATGAAAAATAAAACAGTAAAGCTTTATTTCTCTCTATGTAAAATGGTGTTTGTGGTATTGGGAATCTCATAGTTTTTGTTTGTGAGTAGTTCAGCAATGAAGAAATATTTTTCCCCACTGGGGTAATGAATGAGGAATTAGAAGAGCTATTTTAATGAAAACAGGTCCTTCAAATCTTTCCTTCTAAATTACTAGATAGTTTTAGGTATTATTCTGATTAACTAACCTTGCTCCACATGTACCTTGTGTTTACTTTTTAGGGGAAGGTAGCTGAACGTGGTACCCACTATGGTCTGCTTGCTAACTCTAGCAGTATCTATTCAGAGATGTGGCATACACAGAGCAGCCGTGCACAGAACCATGATAACCTCGGATGGGATGCAAAGAAACAAAGTCTCTCCAAAGAAGAGGAAAGGAAGAAGCTCCAAGAAGAAATTATTAACAGTGTGAAAGGCTGTGGCAATTGTTCCTGCTAAGGCACACAAGACACTTTCTTGTCTTTTTGTTGTCTTGTTTGGTTTTGGAATACACATTTGCACTGAGGCAAAACTAGTTCATAAAAATGTAAATCATACATTCCCATTCTTTTAATCCTACTAAATAAGATATATTTAAAGGAGAGTTTGATTTTGCCTTTCAACATCTTTTGAATGTGACATCTATAATTATCCCCAAATTATATTTCTTGTTCCTGCCCCGATTATGCTCAGTGCATTTTTTTTTACCATTTGATTTTGCCCTGTAACTGTTTTTGAAGTCTTATAACCAGATGAAGTAGAATGGTTTCCAAATGTATGTGGTTCTTAAAACCTCCTTTATGCTCACAAGTTGTAGGGAGAGTGTTTTTTTTTTCTTAAAATTAAGTAGGAATATAAAGAGAAGAATGTAGGTTCTTCTCTTTCCTCTCTCCAATTATACTTCCTTGTCAATGTGAAAATTAGTTTGCAAACACATTTAAAGTTGGAACTTAGCCAAAATGAACTGTATTTATATGTTGGACATTTTACTTTTGGACACCTATAATAAGAATTTTTATTTTGTCCTTTTGAGGGGAATTGGTGTATAGAATATTATCTTTAATCACCCCTGCAACTCTTCTCTAGTGATTGGAATTTTATTTTTAATCCCAAGTTTTTGTTTTGGACCAAAATTTGTTAAATTTTATTTAAAGTCTCAGAAACCTTGATGTCATTTGAGAGCTGTTATATTAGGAAGGATCCCTAAAGCTTAGGGAGTTAATGGTCTTTCCTGTTTCTATCTTAAATGTACTGCTTTTGCTATCTGCAGTTATACAAAGAAGTAAGTAAATAGGATGTTGTACATCCACACATGTGTATGTCTGTGTACATGCTAATAATACGTGTATATAAGTCAGTGTCCACTTAAAATTATTAAAAACATTTGGTAAATAGGAAAGGATTACATATCTAGGTATACTCTTTAGATGACCAGATCTCTTAACCTATATTGACACTTCAGAATTGCTATGTTTATTGTAAGGATTTTTGTTACTTATTCATAGTATAATGAGTTCTGTTAAATCTAATGTCAAAAAGAAACTAAGTGATATAGTCAAGCTTTACTTAGAAAAACATTTTACCTGTTAAAAATTATTATTAAAATGATGATATACATCCACATAAGATGTTCTCTTAAACTAGGCATTGTGTACCTGGAGTTCCAGTATTAGGAGACTGAACCCAGAAATTTGAGACTAGCCTGGGCAATATAGTGAGACCCTTTCTCTTAAAACTGAAAAAGAAAACAAAAAGTTCTGCTCTGTGTCAATAGGAATTTAATTTGTGTGATAATACTCATACATTTTGAAACATGTGTGTATCTCATGAATGGCCACATAATCATATGTAATGTGGCTTGATTTCTCAGGAAAGGTCCTAAACTGCTTGTTACATTATAGTTTTAATGTGTTTTAAATGATAATTTAGTGTGGGAGAGGTTAATATTTTTTGATTTGTATTATTGATATTGATAAATAAAAATCTTCTGTTATATAATAGTTTGCTAATCTGAGGCCAGTATATCAGTTAATCTTTGATACCAAAGTAAGTTTTGCAGGATCTTACTTTTAAAATTGAAGGTAACACTGCAGTGTGTTATGGACTGAAAACTGGGTTTTGTTTTGTTGGTATTTCTTGCTTTCAGGATGTAGATAGCGGTGCTATTTTCAAGGGGGAAGAAGCACATCCTTTGAATAAATCAGTTACATTACTGCAGATGTGATTAAAGTTAGATAAAAATTTTGCATCGTTATTAATTCCTACATTTGCATCAATGCTAATGGAGACGATGAAACTCAGTTACACAAAGAACCAGAATATAATTATTATTATTAAGAATTCTTCTTGAAGTGTATGTAGCAGTGTTCAAAGCAAGTTACTTAGTGAAATAGAGGAAACATTACCCCCAAGAAAGTAGGGATATTTGCAGGATAGGGATACTATTCCAACTAAGATTTTGAAACTTTTCTTTTCATATGATTGCCGGTGGTACCTAGGCAATTGTAGTCATTAACCTATCTTTCAACTAACAAAACTAAATTTAAGACAATTAGTGTAGAGGCCATAACTAAGTCTTAAGACATCTTTTTAAAAACTACATCATCTTTAGGTGGTTCTATAGAGGGAAATAATAGACAGCTGAAGACGAAAGAGAAGCTTTCTGGGATGATTCAGTCATGGGAAATGCCAAGAAAAGGGCATTTAAATATAATGCACTAATTTTACATCACAATATTACATAATTACACAAAAGGATAATGTTTATAAATTTTTAAAAAATCAGTGTTGCTGCAATGTTTTAATGTATTAGGAGGAATAATTTTAAAATTTGAGCTCTGAAAATAGAGTAAGATAATGGGGGTTCATTTCTTACATCTCTTTAAGGATTAAAAAATTTATTTTCTTCCTAAGGAAATCCCAGTTTACAAAAGTTAACTTGAAGCCAAGGTAATTTGGGAATCTTAAAAACTGGGCCAGATGCCTTACTGCTCATCCTTAACATAGAACTGTCTTGTTGTGCAGATGGACTCATTTGGGAATGTTTAACAGCTCAAGCCAGGGTCACTTGTGATAATCAGGGAGACCTTCACATCTGAACACGAACAGTCTCAAGATAGGCATAGCTTGCAGGGATTTGCACCTTTTATATACCTTAAGATGAATATTCTGACTTTCCCTTCTATGTTGACAAATCTAATTTTATGAGGATGACTGTTTTTTAAAACTTGTTTTGCTCTAAAGCCCAGGTATTTGAAAACTGTATGATTCCTTATTTCTAGATCACTTTTTCCATACTGCCATCTTGTTCCTGTCCTTCCTACTTGCTGGATATATCACCAAGTAGCAACATTTTCCATATATATTCCTAATTCCCTCAACTTGTAACTTGATTACAGGATATTCTGTTGTGAATTATCAGTTAAAAGTGTTTAAATATGTTTGTAATTACAGATTGTGTTAATTATAGAAAAATTCCTTTTCTCTGGGTGTATTCATTTGGAATGTAAAGTGTATGGTAAATCACAAAATTGAGTGAGACATTCTGGATAAAGCTGATTACAACAAAGCACCTCAGCCAAGGGTTCACCTTACCACACTTCTCTTGTTTATAGCAACCTGTGCAGATAGTCATTGCTGAATAAACATGCTTTGTGCCTAGAAATGAGTGTCTGATAAGAATAACTTTTCTGCATGCCCAGGGAAACTGACATTTTTGTCCCTTATACACTTGGAATAAACACAGGTAATTACTAAGCACTCTGGGAATATGACCTTGCAGCTTTAGACAGCAGGTGAAAAGCTTGGCATTTTTTCAGTAGGAAAGTAAATGTTTGCAGAGTTTGTAATGTAGGTAAAATGGTGACAAATTATAGTGGTTTTATTTAGCATTAAGCTGCCATATTTTTGATGGCCAGCCAGTGAAAAGTCCCTAGTTTCTTACTTGTCCCCAGTTTCTCAGTTGTAATGATTAGGAAGGGAACCTTGGGGTGGAGAAATGTCTTGCCTGCATTTTGATTAGCTAGGTAGAATTGGAAATGAAGTGTGTGTTCTAATTAAAAACAGATTGGATTAAAAAAATACAGATTGTTTCCATATTTCATGTTCTCATATAGCTACAGTAAAGTGTTCACTGGTGTCTTTCTGTTTCTTTTTCATAAGGTTTTAAAGTTGGAAGGGCTTTCAAGGTCATTTAATATATTTTTCTCATTCTATAAATGAGAACACGCTCCACTAGAGGCTAAGCAGGAATAAAAACCCCAGTTGCTTATAATCAGTACTTGTGTTCTACCATATTTCCACTGAGAAATCACATTTGAAAATAAATCGAAGGGTCAGAATTGAGAATGAAGAATTATGGACCTCCACAGGCCTACTCCCCCAATGAAGCAACCATTTAACTGCTTTTTAAAAAGTTGTTGTAAGGGCTTAAGAGATTGCTCTGTGTTTAAGAACACATACCTGCTCTTTCAGAGAACCCGAGTACAGTTCCCAGCACCTACACCAGGCAGTTAACTCCAGTTCCAGAAATACAACACCCTCTTCTGGCCTCTGAAAGCATTTATACTCATGCGCACATGCCCACACAAACGCACATGCATGCACATAATTTAAAAATATACAGAAATCTGTTTTAAAGTTACTTGAAAGAAAAAAATAGTCTATTGATAGCTTCTGAAAATGTCCTAAGGGCTTATAGGAAATGGAGAAACATTTAAGATGGTCTAATCTTAAGAATAGCAAGAGACTGTGGCCTTTAAGAAATGTTATGTTCCATATGCTCTATGCTGGAAGCTTTACCCGGGGCACTCTGCTCTGAGCAGGTATGGTAAAGACATGTCTTAGGGGTACGTGGGTCTTCCTCATCACCCAGTTCCCAACTTGAAGTTGCAATTTTACTCTGGCCCTGAGAGCTGGCTGCAGTTTTTATCTTCATCCTGTCTTTTCCCCACTTACGTGTGTCATAGCCTATTTTCTGCTGCTATAGGAAAATATGAGCAAGTAAGCTGTAGACATTTGAATTTTATTTGCCTATGGTGCTAATCATATGGTGCCAACATCTGATCAGCGTTTGATGTGTGCCCTTTTGCTGTATCATAGCATAGTAGATGGTATCATAAGTGGAAACAGAGGAAGCATGCTAGCTCACATCTCTTACAAAGTCAATGGACACCCCAACATCATGATCTCATTTTACCTCCCAAAGATTCCAACACCAATACCAGTAACTTTTCAACACCTGAAAAGTTGGGGTGTACCTTTAAACCACAGTTGAGTAGAAGCTTTTCCATGTGTAAGAGCAAGATGCTAATTTTTTCTTCTCCAGCTTACTCATAGGGAAGAAATGCACACAATATTGGCCTTGTTCCAGGGCAGTGCAGTGTTGCAGAATTTCTGGTCAAGGGGAAATGCATGTGATTAGGGCAAAGAACTCCATAGCTCCACCTGTGGGAACTGACTTCATTTGAAAGAACTCCTTTGGTAAAGGCATTATCACAAGCAGTGGAGATCTTGGAGAAGTTCAGTTAGGGCAGTGGATCTCAACCTTCCTAATGCTGCAACCCTTTAGTACAGTTTCTCATGTTATGGTGACCCCCAATCATAAAATTATTGTCGCTGCTACTTAATGACTGTAATTTTGCTGCTGTTAGGAATTGTAATGTAAATATCTGATATGTAGGATATCTAATATGCAACCCCTGTGAAAGGGCCATGTAACCCCTAAAGGGGTTAAGACTCACATGTTGAGAACTGCTGAGTTAAGAGGAGCTGGCAGAAGCAGAACAGACAGAACGTAAAACAGAAATGAAAGAGGGAGAGTTTCTGGGAGCCGTCAGTTTAGGGGTTGGAAAGGTTAGGCACATACATTGGGGAAACTACAAATCCTCAAGGAAAAAATTAGTTTCTATAATTGCCATAGGTGTCAGTCTAAAATACCCAGTTTACAAGAAAAATGTAAGACACAAAAGCAAACAACAGGATGTGGCCCAAACATGGAGGACATAACAGTCAATAAGTAGTAGGACTGTGAGAGAACAGTAGTCATCACATACAAATAAATCCCAGATTTATAACAAGATTCGGCCAGGCTCACGAAGTCCAGAAGACAGAATATTGACATTCAAATTGCTAGAAAGAAGGCTCAATCAAGGATATACAGATGTGTCCACTGGTCCAGTAGAGACATGGCTTGTATGGAGGGAAATAACTACCTTCTAATTAGATTTAAAGCCCACTTCACAAGGAGTTCATGCCAGATACTGTAGACTTGTACAAAAGCCTATGGCTAGTTAAGATAATAGACCCTAGGAGGAACTTACTATTGTTGTTCTGCTAAGTGGATACTCTTGTCAAACTGCCTTCTAGGTATTTGTGTTGTTCTCAGCCTTGGTCAGAGAAGCTTCTTTTTTTCAGTGGTCAGTGATTGATAAGATTCATAACTAGTCAAAATACTGAGAATAAGTGGATGAGTACTCATCTTTAAATGGGATGTCTTAAAAAAAAAGAAAACTCCACCATCCCCTGCACGTACACACACACAAACACACACATATGCAAGGCTCACAACATTGTGGAAAAGGACTTGGAAAGAATGTAAGCTAGAAGATGAGGAGAGCTGTGCAATGCTCTCTTCTGGATATGATATGGCCATTGCTCTCATAAACTCATAGAAACTGTGTTTATCTTCACAAGGTTAAGTCCATCCAAATTCCCACATGGATACAGGAGGGGATCCTGAGGCCACACCTAGTCAGTGAACTATTGACAATGACTACTCTGGAAGGAAGAGTAATTTTTCTTGGGGAGTAAGGCTACTGGTAGGTTGTCCACGTTTCTGTGAATGGCCCTATATCCATGGGTATATGGGAAGTGTTAATTGGGTTATAAAGAGAAAGTTATGGAGTGGGGAGGGGGACATGTTAGTTAAAGGGGTCTGGTGGGAATTGGAGGTAGGAAGTAAATACATTGTATACATACATGCAATTTTCAAAGAATAAAAAGACAGAATATAACCTGTAATTTTACCCAAAACTATCATTTGAAAATGAGGATGAAATCAAGATGTTTCCAGATACCTTGCATTAAAATATATTGTTAACAGACCTGCAAGAGATATGAATGAACAGCACCAGTAAAGGCAGTCTTGTAGCTTCTTAAAGAAGATACTGTAACATGTTTCTTCGTCTTTCTTTCCTTGGCTTATAAGAGAATCTATATCATTCTTTTGTTGGGAGGGAAACTAAAGCTGTCTAAGAGTAAGCTATTAATGGCATCTCAGATCTATAGGAACAAGTGGAGAGAGCCATACATCTTACATAGCAAGTTAATATGTTGTATTGATTTTTGACTTACCAATGTGTACGTATAACAGTATAAAAAGTGTTTAAAGGAGCAATATAGAGATGCATTTTATTTCATTCAGAATACTTAGTGTAATTATGATGTACATTCTCAAGTTATAGTGTATATTGAAATCCTAGAATAAAACTAAGAAAGTAACTCTAAACATATATTTAAAACACCATTAAAGGGATAAGGTGCTGTGATAGACAATGTCTATGGAATAGTAAAGAATTCTGTAAAAGAGGAAATTAATTTTTTAAAAAGAAAGCATATAGAAAAATCAAAATCTATATGTTTACTGAACAATATCAGTAACTAGTAAGTCAATCAAATACCAAGGTAGAGATTGCCAATTAGTTTGAAATATCAAGGTCCATCTGTATGTCATCTGTGAGGGATGCTACCTAAATTTGTTAAAAGGGTAGGAAAGTATTCCATGTGAATATCTACCATGAAAGTTTGAGTGGCTATCCTAATATCAGACAGTATACTTTACAACAATAACCAGTAGTGATTTCATAATCGGAACACTGAATCAGCTAACTGAACACTCTACCCCAAGCCAATAGATTCCATCCTTATGCACATGGAACATTCTTCTACATAGGACAAGCGGTAGTACATAAAACAAACCTCAGTAAATTGAAAACTTATAAAGAATGTTCTGTGGCCACAATAAGAATGAAATTAGAAATCAGCATTAAGGAAAAACTTAGAGATTTCTGAAATATATTGAAATTAAGCAATGTACTTTACAGGCCAAAGAGGAAATGGCAAGAAAGAGAATTTAGAAAATACTCCAAGAATAATGAAAATGATCAAATTCAGCAAGACTTCTTGGTTCAGGAGAGTTCATAATTTTGAATGCTTGTATTTTTAAATTTGGTGTGAATAAACTTCCATCTTAATAAATTATATATTACAAAATAAGCAATCAAATGAATTAACAAGTATTGGAGCAGAAGTTAATGAAACAGAAGAGAAACCTACTTAAAAAAACAGTGATTTTTTTCTAAACTTCATGATTTGCCATTTGCTATAACATGAGTGAACTTATAGAACAACCATATGCTTAAATGAACCAGAGACAAATAAAAATAGCGCATGTTCTCTGTGATGATATATTATTTGTGATTTACTAAAGATTGCCTGAAGTATCAGAATGCAAATCCAGCCACACTAGTTAACTATAGAAGCTGGGTGATGGTATCACACACCTTTAATCTTACGACTCAGGAGATAAAGGCAGATGTATATCTGTGAGTTCAAGGCCACCCAGGGCTACATTAGAGTGAATCAGTTTAAAAGAGTAAAGGCTCC